GGGCGGCGCCCTGCCTGTGGGGCAGGGAGCTGCTGGCAGCACCTCCAGGGCAAGCTAGCTGGGCTTGCCCTGGTCCCCCTGGCACAGTGCCCAGCACCAGCGGTGAGGATGTCCCCGGTCTGTGCCTGCCAGGTCCTGGCTGACATCGAGGTGGCACAGAGCCTGCAGGCGCAGAAGGTGAAGGAGGAGGAGGAGGAAGTCGCCCATCCGCTGGATCAGGATTACGCCCTGCTCTGCTGCCAGCTCTCCCTGCTAGACCCGGCTTCCCGGGAATACCAGGTGCCACTTGTGCCACGGTGCCCCATGACGGGGAGCAACCATGCTAGGCTTGCGGGCACCCCAGAGGTCCCCACTGTCCCAGGGGGACTGTGGGCATTGCTGGGATGGCTGCCTGTGGTGACACCGCTTTCCTGCCTCCCTCCCTGGCAGCTGATACAAAACTACGTGACGCAGACCGGGCACAATCTCCGCATCCTCAACATCTGGCAGGTGTCCCGAGATGGCGAGGTGAGAAGGAGGAGATGATTATCCCCGTCTCACAGTGGGGAAGCCCTGGCTGGACCCAGAACTGCATTAGGGCTCTGGGTTCAGCCAGGGGGGGCTTCAGCCAGGCTGGCCAGGGTGAACAGGCACCCGCTGCCCTGCCCCTCCAGCCTGGCGCTGGGGTTGGGCTGGGGGGGTTGGGTGGTGTCCCACCCCCAGGCACCCACGTCTCCCTCCGTGGACAGCCCTTAGCTCTGCATCTCTGCAGGACGAGCGCTTCAAAGCCCACGAGCTCCTGGAGCACCGGCGCCTGCTTTGGCACGGCACCAACGTGGCGGTGATCGCGGCCATCCTGAAGAGCGGGCTGCGCATCATGCCCCACTCGGGCGGGCGTGTGGGCAAGGGCATCTACTTCGCCTCCGAGAACAGCAAGTCAGCCTGCTATGGTGAGGGTCCTGGGCCCACAGCGTTTGTGGGAGCCCAGCTGCGTTCGCATACCCGCTGCCAGGCAGCTGCTGGGCATGCCAAGCCCCTTCCCATGCCACTGCCGTGGCAGCCAGTCCCTGTGTGCCGGGGTGGCCTGGGCACAACCAGATGGGAACACCAGGGCTGGTGCCATCGCGCCCATCCCCTTCTCCCATGGCAGTGCGCTGCACATCCAAGAAGATTGGCATCATGTTCCTGACGGAGGTGGCCCTGGGCAAGCCCTACTGCATCACCTCTGATGACCCCACGCTGTGTCAGCCGCCCGCTGGCTACGACAGTGTCCTGGCCTGCGGTCAGACGGAACCGGGTGAGCCTGGGGCAGGACGGAGTGTGGGGTCTGTGGACCTGGGGTGGGCATGGGGCAGTGGGGGAGAGCAGCCAGATCTTGGGCTTGACGTGGTGGTGGCGGGTGTCTTCTCGCCCAGACCCTGCACAGGATGAGGAGATGCTGCTAGATGGCAAGAAGGTGCTGGTGTGCCAGGGCAAGCCCATCCCCATGCCCACCTACAAGGACTCCTCCTTCAGACAGAGCGAGTACCTCATTTACCAGGAAAGCCAGTGCCGGATCCGCTACCTTGTCCAGCTCCGCTTCTGAGGGTGCCTGGGTACCCCATGGCCCTGCCCCAGCACCAGATGGTGATGCCCACCAGCCCGGAGCACAGTGGTCTGGACTCTCTGGCCACCCCACCTGGGACTTGGCAAGAGACAGGCTGGCATGGGGACAGAGCCTGCTTTGACCGTGAATAAAGACACCGTGCCTCGTACCGAGTGGTGCCAGCGCTTTCTTGCCCAGCAAGGCGGGCGTGGAGTCGGGAAGGGTGGTGGTGGGTCCGGGCAGGGATGGTGGCAGGTGGCCCTGGAGAGGCTGCAGCCTGTT